AACCCTCAAGACAAAATAAATAGAAATTGTATGTGGTATCATTCTGAATTTCCCAAGTTATTTGTCTAAACAGCTGACAAGCAGAGTTTGAGTAAACTAATCCAAAACGCTTCTGGGAGGCCGAGTTTAAGTAAATTGATTCAAAATACTACTAGGAGGCAAAATATTCAATTTACTTAAACCTGCCGCCCCTGACCTCCCCGCCCCCCCTCCCGGGCCCCCCCCTCAAAACACCCTCCCGCCCTTTTCGGGCCCTTTCGGCCCTTCTTAACCCTCTCCAGACTCAGCAAAACCTTTGTTCCACGCCTTCCCAAGCCGCCCGCCCACCCCCCCCACCCCCCCCAGCCCTTCCCCACACTCCCCCCCCTCCCTCCCTTTGGGATTCTGGGAGCGAATTGAGCTCCGGGCGTTAATTTTGAGCTTTGGGAGCTAATTTTGATCTCTGGGAGCTAATTTTGAACTCCGGGAGCTAATTTTAAGCTCCGGGGCCCAATTTTGAGCTCCCGGCGTGAAGGTCCCAGCCTCAGGAAATGACCAATTCCACCTATATGAAGGTCCCAGCCTCAGGAAATGACCAATTCCACCTGTATGAAGGTCCCAGCCTCAGGAAATGACCAATTCCACCTGTATGAAGGTCCCAGCCTCAGGAAATGACCAATTCCACCTATATGAAGGTCCCAGCCCCAGGAAATGACCAACTCCACCTATATGAAGGTCACAGCCTCAGGAAATGACCAATTCCATTTTTATGAAGGTTTCAGCCTCAGGAAATGACCAATTCCACCTATATGAAGGTCCCAGCCTCAGGAAATGACCAACTCCACCTATATGAAGGACCAATTCCACCTATATGAAGGTTTCACCTCAGGAAATGACCAATTCCACCTATATAAAGGTCCCAGCCTCAGGAAATGACCAATTCCACCTATATGAAGGTCCCAGCCTCAGGAAATGACCAATTCCACCTATGTCAAGGTCCCAGCCTCAGGGAATGACCAACTCCACCTATATGAAGGCCCCAGCCTCAGGAAATGACCAATTCCACCTGTATGAAGGTTGCAGCCTCAGGAAATGACCAATTCCACCTAAATGAAGGTCCCAGCCTCAGGAAATGACCAATTCCACCTATATGAAGGCCCCAGCCTCAGGAAATGACCAATTCCACCTATATGAAGGTTCCAGCCTCCGGAAATGACCAATTCCACCTATATGAAGGTTGCAGCCTCAGGAAATGACCAATTCCACCTATATGAAGGTTGCAGCCTCAGGAAATGACCAATTCCACCTATATGAAGGTCCCAGCCTCAGGAAATGACCAATTCCACCTATATGAAGGTCCCAGCCTCAGGAAATGACCAATTCCACCTATATGAAGGTCCCAGACTCAGGAAATGACCAATTCCACCTATATGAAGGTCCCAGCCTCAGGAAATGACCAATTCCACCTATATGAAGGCCCCAGCCTCAGGAAATGACCAATTCCACCTATATGAAGGTCCCAGCCTCAGGAAATGACCAACAATTCCACCTATATGAAGGCCCCCAGCCTCAGGAAATGACCAATTCCACCTATATGAAGGTCCCAGCCTCAGGAAATGACCAATTCCACCTATATGAAGGTCCCAGCCTCAGGAAATGACCAATTCCACCTATATGAAGGTCCAGCCTCAGGAAATGACCAATTCCACCTATATGAAGGTCCCAGCCTCAGGAAATGACCAATTCCACCTATATGCAGGTCCCAGCCTCAGGAAATGACCAATTCCACCTATGAAGGTCCCAGCCTCAGGAAATGAACAATTCCACTTATATGAAGGTCCCAGCCTCAGGAAATGACCAATTCCACCTATATGAAAGCCCCAGCTTCAGGAACTGACACCAATTCCACTTATACAGGAAATGACCAATTCCACCTATATGAAAGTCCCAGCCTCAGGAAATGACCAATTCCACCTATATGAAGGTCCCAGCCTCCGGAAATGACCAATTCCACCTATATGAAGGTCCCAGCCTCAGGAAAGCCTCAGGAAATGACCAATTCCTTATATGAAAGTCCCAGCCTCAGGAAATGACCAGTTCCACCTATATGAAGGTCCCAGCCTCAGGAAATGACCAATTCCACGTATATGAAGGTCCCAGCCTCAGGAAATGACCAATTCCACCTATATGAAGGTCCCAGCCTCAGGAAATGACCAATTCCACCTATATGAAGGTCCCAGCCTTAGGAAATGACCAACTCCACCTATATGAAGGTCCCAGCCTCAGGAAATGACCAATTCCACCTATATGAAGGTCCCAGCCTCAGGAAATGACCAATTCCACCTATATGAAGGTCCCAGCCTCAGGAAATGACCAATTCCACCTATATGAAGGTCCCAGCCTCAGGAAATGACCAATTCCACCTATATGAAGGTCCCAGCCTCAGGAAATGACCAATTCCACCTATATGAAGGTCCCAGCCTCAGGAAATGACCAATTCCACCTATATGAAGGTCCCAGCCTCAGGAAATGACCAATTCCACCTATATGAAGGTCCCAGCCTCAGGAAATGACCAATTCCACCTATATGAAGGTCCCAGCCTCAGGAAATGACCAATTCCACCTATATGAAGGTCCCAGCCTCAGGAAATGACCAATTCCACCTATATGAAGGTCCCAGCCTCAGGAAATGACCAATTCCACCTATATGAAGGTCCCAGCCTCAGGAAATGACCAATTCCACCTATATGAAGGTCCCAGCCTCAGGAAATGACCAATTCCACCTATATGAAGGTCCCAGCCTCAGGAAATGACCAATTCCACTTATATGAAGGTCCCAGCCTCAGGAAATGACCAATTCCACCTATATGAAGGTCGCAGTCCCAGGAAATGACAGATCAAAACCTCCAAGAATTGAATTTTGGAAGGCTTGGGCATCTCTGGATATTTGATCAAAATCTCCAGAATTCAAATTGGATATCGAATCAAAATCTCCAGAATTCACCCCCAGCCCCAAGCCCCAAGCCCCAAGCCCCAGCCCCAGCCCCAGCCCCAGCCCCAGCCCCAGCCCCACCCCAGCCCCAGCCCCAGCCCCAGCCCCAGCCCCAGCCCCAGCCCCAGCCCCAGCCCCAGCCCCAGCCCACCTGTTTTGGTTTCTGACCATTGTTGGCTTTCACAAAACCCTCATCGAGGTGCGGAACGACAACATCTGAGCTCAGCTTTCTCTTGTTTCCTGTTTCAAGTGAGAGATGTGAACACTTGCAACCCGGAGGTCAGCGTGCGCCGTGCCCGAGGGGCTGGTTCCGCTTGTCTGCCATTGAAGGCGCGCCTTCTATTACCGAATATGCACTATCAAAGCACGTAAGCCATGCAATTGCACGCTTTCTCCATGAGTTTTTCTTCGCCGCAGTTGTCGTCGAGCTCCCATTTGTCACCAGTAAGTCAGTAAGTAAGTAAATTTGGAGCTGCGTTGCCATGCCGAAGTACTGCCTTGGCTTGGAAGATCCTGCAGGCGGCGAATCCAGACCCTGCATTTTTGCTCAGGATGGAAATGGTGGACGGGCGCAAACCAGCTCTGGCAAAAGGCATTGCGCCTTGTGCAGCTTGGAGAACCTCGACCAGGCCTTTGGGTCTCTTGTGGGCAAAGGTAACTTGCAGAGGCAACTCAAGCACTGGCGGCGAGTGGGATCTCCAACGTATGAAGCTGCATTTGCGCTCGGCGCGCTCGCCGCACTATCTGCTGGCGAGCAACAACTCCTTCGTGCAAAGGCAGGGGAAAGAGGCAAGTTCTGGAAGCAATCGAGCTGGCTCCACAAGAGGAGGCTGCGTCTCAGACACTTTTTGCTAGGCAGGCCGATTCCCGTGACAAATCTCAGCCCAAGAAGCCACCGCTATTTGCAAACAATTCTTGCTCGCAAAGGGGAAGGTTGGCTTCTGCATTACAACCTGGCTCGCCTCCGCAAGAAGGAACCATTTGCCAACGTCAGCAGCAAGCACAACGGTCGCACATATTGGCGAGGCAGGCCTGCTGATATGAGGAAAGGGCGCAGCGCTTGGTGGCGAATCCGCCGAATCCTCAAAGCCAAATGCGTGACGGCAGTGGCCAGAGGGCCTCCCTTCGATGACGAAGGATTAGCTTGGGCTATGGACGAAGGAATCTTACAACGTGGAGCTCTGGTCGCCCTATCTGGCTCACAAGAATCCAACCCAAGTTGTTGCTACTTGACTGAAGCTGGAGACAGCCTCTTTTTCACAAGGCTCAGTGGACGCATGACATTTCCAACGAAGCAGTTGGCGAGCGCCGAATGCTCTGTGCGCAATGTCCTGGGAGGAAAAGTGTTGGGCATCGACATGTCGGAGGCACAAAGACTCCTGACAGACCGCGGCTACGTGTGGGAAACGCACTTGCTTTGCTACGCATCAATTCTCGCACCGCTGGTGCTGGACACGTGTCTGCAGCGAGCTGGCTTCAAGCTAGAGCTCTGGAACAAACACACGCAGTGGCCCGCTCAAGCCACAGGGATCTTGCAGATCCGCGGCGCAGCTCAGACGAAGTTCTGGGCTGCTCTCAAGGCTTGCGCAGACAGGGTGTACATGCTTGATTGTTTCCTGAGTGAGCCCACGCTGATCACGAACTGGCACCACGCCTTACAAGTGAACGAGACATACGCAGTGGTTCCAGTACAGGCTAGGGACACACACTAGTTTATGTTCTCAGATGGTAAGTTTCACCAGGCACAGATCTCGAGCTGGGATGGCAGCGCAGTTGCAGGGTTCGCAAAATGAGCTACTTTCAAACGCAAGTCTTGCGCCGCTTACTTGCCATCTCCCTCCGGACCCCAAACCGAGAGCAGCCAGGTGGAAAACAAGCGCTTGACGCGCGCACGGCAGCCCCGGCCCCGGCATTGCATTGCTAGAACGCCCGATGCTGCAATCGGGAGCGCCAGGTGCAGAAGAGGGTCGGGCTGTGGATGAGCAGGGCGTCATCTTCGGCGTCTCTGATTGGCGAGGCGCTGCGTTCGGGCGCACCCGGCGCAGGGAGAGCGGGGTAGTGGACGAGCACGGCTTCGTCTTCCACCCACGGTTCTCAGCATCCTGCAGCTGCGTTCGGGAGGACCCGGCGTAGAGGGGGCGGGGGGCTTGACCAGCAGGGCTTGGTCTCGTTCCCGCGGTCTCTTACGTAGGGCCTCTGGGCCAGCGGCCAATCTTGCAAGCCCAAAATTGGCTCGGCTCCAAAGCCTAAAAGTGGTTCCAAAGCTCAAAATTCCAGAGCCCAAAATTGGCTTTAAAGTCCAAAATTGGCTCCCCAAGCCCAAAATTGCCAGCAAAGCCCAAAATTGCTTCCAGAGCCCAAAATTGGCTCCCCAAGCCGAAAATGGAGCCAAAAATTTGCTCCCCAAAATTGGTTCCAAAGCCGAAAATTGGCCCCCAAAGCCCAAAATGGCTCCAAATCCCAAAATTGGCTCCCCAAGCCTAAAATTGGTCCCCAAAGCCAAAGATTAGCCCCCAAAGCCGAAAATTGGCTCCAAAGCCCAAAACTGGATCCCCAAGCCAAAAATTGGCTTCAATTGGCTCCCCAAACCCCAAATTGGCTCCCCTCCGGCTCCAATGCCCAAAATTGGCTTTTGAGCTCTGGGAGCCAATTTTGGCTCCGAAACATCCCGGAGCTCAAAATTAGCTCCCGGAGCTCAAGATTAGCTCCCGGAGCTTCCAGAGCTCAAAATGAGCTCAAACTTAGCTCAAAATTAGGTCCCGGAGCTCAAAATTAGCTCCCTTGGGGCTAGCTCCACCCGGAAGTCAAAATTAGCTCCCCGGACCGAAAGAAAAGCTCCCAGAGCTCAGCTCCTGTAGCTTCCAGAGCTCAAAATTAGCTCCCAGAGTTCAAAATTAGCTCCAAGAGCTCAAAATTAGTCCCAGCCTCAAAATTAGCTTCCGGAACTCAAAATTAGCTCCCGGAGCTCAAAATTAGCTCCCAAAGCTCAAAATTTGCTCCCGGAGCTCAAAATTAGCTCCCGGAGCTTAAAATTAGCTTTCGGAGCTCAAATTAGCTCCCAGAGCTCAAAATCAGCTCCCGGAGCTTCCAGAGCTCAAAATTAACTCCCACAGCTCCAAAATTAGGTTTCGGAGCTCAAAATTAGCTCTGGGAGCTCAAAAGTAGCTCCCAAAGCTCAAAATCAAAATTAGCTCCCAGAGCTCAAAATTAGCTCCCGGAACTCAAAATTCGCTCCGGGAGGTCAAAATTGGCTCCCGGAGCTCAAAATTCGCTCCCGAAACTCAAAATTAGCTCCCAGAGCTCAAAATTAGCTCCCGGAGCTCAGGATTAGCTCCCAAAGGTCAAATTAGCTCCCATCAGAGCTCAAAATTAGCTCCCGGAGCTCAAAATTAGCTCCCAGAGCTCAAAATTTAGCGCAGGGCTCAAAATTAGCTCCCGGACCTCAAAGTTAGCTCCGAAACTTTCGCTCGAGTTTTTTTTTCACCGGGCAACCTCCAAAGAGGACAGCACGAGCAAAAGGTTGCCCGGTGAATAAGAGTCACTTCTTCACCGGGCAACCTCCAAAGAGGACAACACGAGCAAAAGGTTGCCCGGTGAAAAAACTTGAATAAGAGTTTTTTTTTTGCCGGGCAACCTTTTGCTCGTGCTGTCCTCTTTGGAGGTTGCCCGGTGAAAAAAAACTTATTTTTTCACCGGGCAACCTTTTGCTCGTACTGTCCTCTTTGGAGGGTTGCCCGGTGAAAAAAAAACGTTATTGGGACCTGAACCCTATACAATTTCTATAAACCCTAAACCCTAAACCCTAAACCCTAAACCCTAAACCCTAAACCCTAAACCCTAAACCCTAAACCCTAAACCCTAAACCCTAAACCCTAAACCCTAAACCCTAAACCCTAAACCCTAAACCCTAAACCCTAAACCCTAAACCCTAAACCCTAAACCCTAAACCCTAAAACCCTAAACAAGACCAGGATAAATAGAAATTGTATGTGTTTCATTACGAATAGCTCGATTCCTGCAGGCAAAGAGGTTTAAGTAAATTGAACATATTGGCACAGTTGACCCCTGCAAACCCTTATCCTGGCTCACTAGTTACCTCAACTAGGGAGGAGAAGGCCAAGCTCCTTGATTGCATTCACACAAGCCCCGATCCCTGACCCAAATTCAGGAGGCTAACGCAAGGCTCGTATTCACACAGGCTTTGATCACATCCCGACCTGGAATGCAAGGCTCCCGACCCAGTTGTGGGGGGGGGGGGGAACGCAAAGGCTCCTTCAGTTACATAAGCCCTGCTCACACACCGACCCAATTAGGGAGGTGAATACAAAGGCTCCTTGGCAGCATTCACACAGGCTCTGATCACATCCCGACCCAATTAGGGAGGGGAACGCAAAGGCTCCATGGCTGCATTTACACAGGCCCTCATCACATCCCGACCCAATTAGGGAGGGGAATGCAAGGCTCCTTGGCTGCATTTACACAGGCCCTGATCACATCCCGACCCAATTAGGGAGGTGAATACAAAGGCTCCTGGGCTGCATTTACACAGACCCTGATCACATCCTGACCCAATTCGGGAGGTGAACACTGCATTTACACAGGCCCTGATCACATCCTGACCCAAGTAGGGAGAGAAACAAAAGGCTCCTTGGCTGCATTTACACAGGCCCTGATCACATCCCGACCCAATTAGGGAGGTGACTACAAAGGCTCCTTGGCAGCATTCACACAGGCCCTGATCACATCCCGACCCAATTAGGGAGGGGAATGCAAGGCTCCTTGGCTGCATTGACACAGGCCCTGATCACATCCCGACCCAATTAGGGAGAATCACAAGGCTCCTTGGCTGCATTTACACAGGTCTTGATCACATCCCGACCCAATTAGGGAGGTGACTACAAAGGCTCCTTGGCAGCATTCACAGAGGCCCTGATCACATCCCGACCCAATTAGGGAGGGGAATGCAAGGCTCCTTGGCTGCATTGACACAGGCCCTGATCACATCCCGACCCAATTAGGGAGAATCACAAGGCTCCTTGGCTGCATTTACACAGGTCCTGATCACATCCCGACCCAATTAGGGAGGTGAATACAAAGGCTCCTTGGCTGCATTTACACAGGCCCTGGTCACATCCCGACTCAATTAGGGAGGGGAATGCAAGGCTCCTTGGCTGCGTTTAGACAGGCCCTGATCACATCCCGACCCAATTAGGGAGATGACACAAGCCTCCTTGGCAGCATTTTCACAGGCCCTGATCACATCCCGACCCAATTAGGGAGAATCACAAGGCTCCTTGGCTGCATTTACACAGGTCTTGATCACATCCCGACCCAATTAGGGAGGTGAATACAAAGGCTCCTTGGCTGCATTTACACAGGCCCTGGTCACATCCCGACTCAATTAGGGAGGGGAATGCAAGGCTCCTTGGCTGCATTTACACAGGCTGACCCAATTAGGGAGAGAAACACAAGGCTCCTTGGCTGCATTTTTACACAGCCCTGATCACATCCCGACCCAATTAGGGAGGGAAATACAAAGGCTCCTTGGCAGCATTCACACCAGGCCCTGATCACATCCCGACCCAATTAGGGAGGGGAATGCAAGGCTCCTTGGCTGCATTTACACAGGCCCTGATCACATCCCGACCCAATTAGGGAGGGGAATGCCAAGGCTCCTTGGCTGCATTCAAACAGGCCCTGGTCACATCCTGACCCAATTAGGGAGGGGAATGCAAGGCTCCTTGGCTGCATTTACACAAACCCTGATCACATCCTGACCCATTTAGGGAGGGCAATGCAAGGCTCCCTGGCTGCATTTACACAGGCCCGGGGAGGGGAATGCAAGGCTCCTTGGCTGCATTTACACAGGCCCTGATCACATCCCGACCCAATTAGGGAGAATCACAAGGCTCCTTGGCTGCATTTACACAGGTCTTGATCACATCCCGACCCAATTAGGGAGGTGAATACAAAGGCTCCTTGGCTGCAGTTACACAGGCCCTGATCACATCCCGACCCAATTCGGGAGGGAAACGCAAGGCTCCTTGGCTGCATTTACACAGGCCCTGATCACATCCTGATCCAATTAGGGAGAGAAACACAAGGCTCCTTGGCTGCATTTACACAGCCCTTGATCACATCCCGACCCAATTAGGAAGGTAAATACAAAGGCTCCTTGGCTGCATTTTACACAGGCCCTGGTCACATCCCGACCCAATTAGGGAGGGGAAGGCAAGGCTCCTTGGCTGCATTTACACAGGCCCTGATCACATCCCGACCCAATTAGGGAGGGGAATGCAAGGCTCCTTGGCTGCATTTACACAGGCCCTGATCACATCCCGACCCAATTAGGGAGAATCACAAGGCTCCTTGGCTGCATTTACACAGGTCTTGATCACATCCCGACCCAATTAGGGAGGTGAATACAAAGGCTCCTTGGCTGCATTTACACAGGCCCTGGTCACATCCCGACTCAATTAGGGAGGGGAATGCAAGGCTCCTTGGCTGCGTTTAGACAGGCCCTGATCACATCCCGACCCAATTAGGGAGATGAACACAAGCCTCCTTGGCAGCATTTTCACAGGCCTTGATCACATCCCGACCCAATTAGGGAAGGGAATGCAATGCTTCTTGGCTGCATTCACACAGGCCCTGATCACATCCGGACCCAATTCGGGAAGGGAATGCAAGGCTCCTTGGCTGCAGTCACACC